CAAGAGAAAATTGTCCTGTCTGTCATGGCGGGGATGGGTTCAGGCATCCCTCTACGAAGCCATTCCTCCACCTCACCCATCACTTCACGGGCTGCAGATCCAGCAGCCTCACTAGTGGAGTATCTTCAGAACCCAGAGTCTCTAGGAGAGTCGTCTGGGGGACAAGAATGAGTTTTAATCCAGTCGCTCATTATATTGTAGTTAATTGACTTACAGTTGGAAGTGGGTGCTCACTGTGTCACAGGAGTCATCAAGACTCCTGTCACCACCACCACCACCACCACCACCATCACCACCATCACCAGCAGCAGCAGCAGCACCACCACCACCACAAGACTTCACTGCTTTCTATGTGCCGTGAACTGTGATTAGCACAGACATATACATGGGCTTCCTATAAAGATACGTCAAACTCTAGCAACTGAGATAATTGTTCTCAGCATTTCTCTCCAAAGAGCAAATATGGCTCAAAAATAATCATTAGGATGTGCTTCCTCCCAAACTTTAAATCATATTAAGTTTTAACTGGCTCTGCACATGCCAAATATCTTGACAACACAGGGAAGGAACAGTCATTTAGTCTGTAATGGTCTCAATACTTTTCTTTGTTCACAGGAAACCTAGATGACAGTATTGGAAAATTTTTCTGCAGGCATTTTTTTTTAGTCAAGTTCAGTGATTTCTCATTTATTGTTTCCTAATATCTCATCGTGAAGAAAATTATGCATATAGCAAAGTTGAAAGAATTTTGCAAAAATATCACTATATCCCTGTTACCTACATTTTGCCATTAATATTCCACTTAACATGTTTTCTGATGTATTTGTCCATCTATCCATCTTACTACCCATGCAGCAATGGAACCTATGTTTTTGATACATTTCAAAGCAGATTATAAACAGCAGATAATGCTATATACTGAAAGAGTAAAACTAAAGAAACTTCTCTGTTCCTATAAACACACCTAGAAAAAATTAGATTTTTAACATTAAATTATTAGTTTTACTCCTGACAATATCAATCTCTGATAAAATAGACTTCAGGGTAAAAATCAGCCTAAGGGACAAGGAAGGACCCTATATCACGCTTAAAGTATCAATAAAGCTAGATATAGTGGAGAAAGACAGACAGGTATACAGACCGGTACAGATGTGAACAGACGGAAGCACACATAGGTATACATGTCAATACATGAATGTGCGCACAGGCACAGATACTCATTGAAGACACAAATACGGATACTTCTTAGATATAACCGAATACCTTCCAGGATTGATTTCCAAATTTGAAGATAATGAGCAGAGTCTCATGGGACAGTCCAGGTCAACTGGTATAACACAGCTCATAAAGCAGCAGGAAAATGCCACCGTGAGCACCGTGGCCCGCTGGAGCACCGTGCGGAGGGGAGGCTGCTGCCGGAGGCGCTGAGCTGCTTTCTGTCGTGCACTGGATTGCTAGAAGGTGGAGCTGACCTGGCAGCACCCATCAGCAGTCAACCAAAGCCTGGCCTGCACCACGAAGTGTGTGTGTGCAGGGGCTCAGGACCTTGTGGCAGCCATCTAAAAACCCTGGTTCTCTACACAGTCGGGGCAAGACAGCAACAAAGTATCCAGAAGCTCAGAAAGGAAATACATCGACAATCATTCTAAGTCCTTCTACCCTGAGGCTGGGAAACTAGGCTTGGTGGCTAGCTCCCACCCCGGACCTGACCAGGCTCAGATAGAACGGGATGAAACTAGGGAACAGAGCTCAAATTCTCATTTAAAGGAAAATAGACAGCTTGAAACTGTGGATAACAGAAGACACCCTAAGATTATCACCCTGAGACAGTCTTTAAACCTAGAGCACCTTTTTAGCAAAGCAACAGATAAAAAGAAGAGATATTGCCTATAATAATTTCGCTGCTGTTATGTACCGCTGAGTCAGAATCGACCCACAGCTGACCCTCCAGGGGCCGTAAATCACATGGAAAGAGACTGCCCATCCTTCTCCCACGGAGCAACTGATGGAATGGCCTTGCAGTGCAGCTTCTTACCACTAGGCCCCTAAAGCTAGTTGTTATTGTTGTTAAGTGTCGTCGAGTTGTAGGTGATTCATAACGACCCTATGAACGAAAGTCCTCAACACATGTGTGACTTTCATCCTCTCTCCAGGTTTCATAGAGTTTCCAGAGGCAAGCTATTTTGGAAGTAGATGCCACTCCTGCTTCCAAGCTTGTTTTAATCGGGCAGCTCCACCAAACACTGTGCACCATGGGTAACCATTATCGCATTTGTCTCATCAGTTTTACAGTGTTCAGCTTCACAGCAACCACGAGTTACCTCTGTACAGCAAGTGGACACACCAGGGCTATAAGACCTTTGGCTTGGTAGCATCAAAGCTAGTAATAAAAAAAAAGGGTAGTAATAATTAAAAAAAAAGTTCAGTGTGAGAAGTAAAAGATCAACAATTACTCCAAACAAAGCAAAGATGAGACAATAAGGGGTAATCCCAAATTAAAGTCACGAAAGAGAGCAGAGAACCATTAAAGGCACATTGTGAGAACTATAAATGCTATTACCAAACCATGTGTATGGAAATTGCCAAAAGGGAACCTAAGACGCTGTGCAAACTTTCACCAAAAACCTCAATAAAATATAGCTCGAAAAAAATTAAAGTGAGTCTGTCATGAGGATTAGATGCGATAAACAGGAAAACATTTTGTCAGGATGAAAGCACTGGGCACATCTGAGATAATATTATCGTCAGTAATCATAATGCATCTGACACAGCTGAAGTAATGGGCCACGCAACTGTGGGTTTTTCTCAATCAGTCAGAAAGGATTTCAAAGGTGAAAGGGACGGAGTATTGGCAGCTGCCTCCAGCCTGCCCATCAGTTAGTCATCTTGTCAAGGATCTGAAGGAATCTTGGTGCACATCGCACGGACTTGTTTTCATTAGTGAAGTGTTTGTTTTGGACATCATCCCAGTTTTAAAACAATGCTTCCATTAGCTGGGCAAAATACCTATAATTATCCATCTTATCTGACCAGTGCAAAATGCTTCTGTATGGAAGCCCATTTGCCTTGGTGTGCAGGAAGAAGAGGGAGCCATCACTCAAGGCATGAGAAGGTGCACAGAATGCTTCTTTCAGTGAATAATGTCTACCCAGGAAATCGGAGTAGAAACTTCTACAACAAGGTATCATCAGTTTCCAGAAATGGTGAGTCTAAAGGGGATGGAAAACCAACCTTCCACCCCCGTCCCCAAGTGGTGGGGGGGAAAAAAATCCCACAATTTAAGTGACTATAAGTTTACAAGTATAAAATAATGGCCTTCCATTTCTGTGTCTGGGTGAACACAAGCCAGGAAAGTGAGGACCAAGGTCAATGGCAACTAGAAAACCAAGATTAAGTAAGTCAGGAGGGGAGTTCACCATCATTTACGGTTACTGGCAAACTGCCAAACCTTTAGCGCTTTATTTTATGCTGAAGGGGAACTAAAGAAAAAAATAAACAAAAACAACACACAGACCAGATTTGAAATAACCTTTGCCCTCCAAAGTATTACTTTCATTTAAGTGCTGATAAAGAAAATAATTAGGAGACAGAAAAATGAAAATATGTAAATAGGACAAATATAAATATACATAGTTCATAGGTTGCTATGAGTTGTACTCAACTTGATGGCACCTAACAACAACAAATATATATATGGAGACACTATAAATATATATATACCCCCACACCCACACCCACACATATGTATATCTATCTGTATCTCATTGTCGTTGATTACCTTCAAGTCGAGCACGACTCATAGCGACCCTATGAACAAAAGGCCTGAAGCCTCTCTATAGCTATCGACATTTATCAAAGTTCATAGAGTTTCCAGAGGCAGGTTATTTAGGAAGTGGATACTACTCCTGCCTCCCAACTTGTCATAATATGTTATTGTTAGGTGCCATTGAGTTGCCTGAAATGCCTACGTACAGCAGCTCTGAACCCCTCCCTGTCCTGAGCCAGTCTCACTAATTCCGACACACCAACCCCCATTTCCCAGTTACTGTGTCAATCCATCTCATCCGGGGTCTCCCTCTCCTGTGCTGTCTGTCCACCTTTCTGAGCTTGATGTCCTTCTCCAAGGACTGATCTCTCCTGGCTACAATCCTAGCCTCCAAAGAGAGACTGGGTTTCACCATATCCAAGAAAGATCTATCTATCTATCTATCTATCTATCTATCTATCTATCTATCTATCTATCTATCTATCTACCTCCCTCCCTACCTCCCTACCTACCTAGGGAGAGAGAGAAATTTAAGTGCAAAGATTTTAGAGCGACCTACACTCAGCACTGCACATATTTACAGTGTGGGCACACCACCACAGTCAGATAAGAGGGTGCACACAGTTGTTCCACAATTCAAAATATGTTTTCATGCTTTAAGACAAGAGCAATTAGAGTCACGGGCTGACTGGGAGCATCTAAGAGATGCCTGGGTCTATGAATTCCACTAAGACTGTTAGTGGAACCAAGAACATCTCTTGAGGAGACTGAGACAGCTGCCCCAAGCTTTCATCCTTGGATGATTCCATCGTCACTCAAAACACATCAACAGCTCACTTAGTTTGAGACGATGGTCCCTTATTCACAAAGTCATTTGTAATGACTGATAGATAACACAGCATCCAGATGACACACGTGCTCAAAGGAAGGAAGCCGATCAGAGAGGCAAGAACGTGTTCACACTGCTGCTGGCCCTTCTCCGTGACCAGCGAACTGGAGTGTGTGTATTTGAACAAACAGGTTATAGTATTCTATTTCCTCAAACACACAGATATTCATATATTCCACATGTGTTTATAAAAGAAACACTAGTAAATCCGATTTTACGACACAGCACATCTCTAGGCACTCAAATACAGGTTTCTGTCCTAACAAACTTAGGTCATGCTCTAAATTAGAACTATATTCAAATCGCTACTGTTCAATCGGTGAGGGTGGCCCTCATTCATCTTACCTGACTGTCCAGGGGGAGGGGCTCCTGAAGACCCTCGTGGGAGACAAAGAAAGACCGTGAGGACCGCGGCTCTGTTCCCTGCACAGGGCTCGATGGCGATTGGCTTGGGTGCCCCCTGCAAAAGAAAATCCATTTTCAGTTTCTTCTACTTTTCACATTTTAAGTCACCTAGGCTATATGTTCCTAGAAATGGGGAACCTGCCTTATGTGTCACTGGGACACCAGATCTAGGCACACTGGAGAGGAGAAGCAGGTTCACATTTGAAGAAATGGGTACATTGCACCTTTTAGATGTGGTTGCAAAATGATGCAACTTCACATACATAGTGAAATGTGTATGTAATGGAGCAAGTGAAGAGATAATTGTTATAATAATAGTACTAAACCCACATGTCTTTACAAAGAAAATGGAGCAAGTGAAGAGATAATTATTATAATATTAGTAATAAACCCACTGTGCTATGTTGTTGATTCCAATACAGACCTTCCGCCGGGTCTCCAGGGCTGTAAATCTTTGAAGGAGGAGATTGCTCTTTATTTCCTGGGTGAGTGGGTGGTGAATTAGAACTGCCGACCTTTCAGTTAAAAGGCTGATATGCGATGCACTATGCCACCAGGGTTTCTTAATAATAACTGCTGTGTTATTTCGTGCCTATGAACCACAGATGGGAACCTTGCCCTCTCCTGCACAGCCTGAAGGTCTCTGCCATGTTCAAACCCATTGCTGCAGTCACTGTGCCAGTCCATTTCACCCACGGTCTTTCTTATGCTGACCCTATCATTCTCAGAATGATGTATTTATCCTTCTGACAGCATGTCAAAGTACGCGAAAGAGTGTCACCATCCTTGACTCCAGATTAGGGCGCTCAAGTGGCCTAGTGACAAGAAGCTGCACTGCAGTCCCAAAGGCACACGGTTTGAGGCCACCAGCTACCTGTGCAGGAGAAGAATGGGCAGTCTCCTCCTGTGTGATTAGCTACCTCTGAAAACCCACTGGAGGGACTGTTCCATCTCTATAGTCCTCAACAACAACAACAACAACAACAACAACAACAACATGGTTTTCCCCAACCCCCCAGGACTGGCAAAAAAGAAAAGTTGTTTTTGGACAAAGATACCATGTTGGGACAGGTCAGTGAATGAGAGAACTCTTTACCAAATGGATTGACACAGTGACTATAACGACAGGTGTAGCAAGCATGTCACAGATCAGGGGATGACACGGGATGCAGCAAAGTTCTGAGCTGCTGTGCACAGGGTCACCATGAGTCGTAGTTGACTCTACTAAAAAGAACTAACACTATGGCTTGGGTCGAGTTCTGATGGCATAGTCTATAGAGAGTTGGACTGCTAATTCACAAGCTGTGCGTCTCTGGCAGTTTGAATCCACCAGCTGCTCTGTGGAAGAAAGATGGGCAGTCTCCCCTTGTCTTGATTTACAACCTTCAAAACCAAAAGGAGGGTTGCTATCCAGTGGAACTGACTCAACATAAGGGAGTGAATGAGTTAACCATCAAAGCCGGTGCCATTCAAAGCATTTCACATAGATTCACTGTCAATCCTAGAACAGTCCTACAAGATGAGAAGACTGAGGCATGAGGTCAAATACTTTGCCCAAATTCATGTAACTAAGAAGTATCAATGTGAAGACTGAAATTTGGGCAGGCTGCTTTTAGAGTCTATGTTGTTGGCCAGAGAGCAGCTTAAGTGGTACGTGTGCAAACACACACAACCATTTACACAAGCACATGTAAATTCAAATGTGTATTCAAACACACACATAAACACACACAAAGAATTTGTGTTTAAAGGCAACATCACCTTCAAAATACAGAGAATATTATTATCGACTACAAAAGTGATTTTGGCTGTAACCATTCAAAGAACACAGGTGATACCTGGCTGAAATAGCAAAGCAACATCTCTGAGTAAAGGTGAACTTAAAGGTGGGGGAGGGGAATGCCACTGCATTAATTATTAGAACAAATGGTTTGTTTAGTCCTTTTCACCCATCATATTTAAACTTTTTAGAAGATACACAGACATATGTAGTTATTCACCTACACTGGCTTTAGAATATTGCCGTTTCTAGAAAGTTTAACGAGGCATTAAAGATAAAATATGTCCCCTTTCATGTAAAACTTAGACTGAAATTCCTGGTGACAATGGTTTTATGTGGTTATAAAGGATTTCTCCTTTATAGCAACATAAATCTCAGGTTTTAAAATTATCCCCATACGGACACATTTTGGGAGTCCTCAATAGGAAGGTGAAAGTGGTCATGGTAGGCGAACAAAGGGCATAAAAATCCTCCCTGGAAGCGCTGGGAGGCACGCCACAATACCTCCATCAAGCTGTGTGATCTAGGGGTTCACATTTTCAAGCTTACATTTAATTTAACAGACTTATTTTTTTTAAATGTTAAGTCAAAATCAGCATAAGTACATAGCTCTTCTCAATTGATGTAAATATTTAAAGAATGGGCTTGTTGGATTCTAAGACCAAAAGAAAAAAAAATATTATGCATGCTTTGAACTAAGTTTCTAAGCTACTGAAATTTATTGTCATTTAATAAATGCAAAGTATAAGTAAAGGTCAATTGGTGAAAATATATGAAGAGGAAAGAAAATAAACTCAAGGCTTAAACAAACAGAACAGGAAACCATTTCAAGGTATAAATGGTAGTACTTTATTATAAATATCAAAATCTGTTCACTACATCCAAGAAATAATTTACCATTTCCATCATCAGACAAGGGTTTCTTTATGGCTTTGTTTTGTAGTTCTTAGTGTAATAACCACCACATTAAAAACAAAACCCCCCACAATTTAATTTCCAGGATTAGAATAGTAGAGTTTCATGACTACCTAGAGAAAGGTAAGAAACAGAGGATCTTGGTTTCGGATATTTAAACAATAAATGACTTGGCAGCTTGTCAATGATGGTCACCAGGTTTATTATTTACTGTTTTGTTGTTGTTATTTGGATTTTGTTTCCTTTTTTTTTTTTTAAACTCTGCAAGAAAATGGTTTGAAATATCAAATGTTGGAACCCAATGCAGCATCTGAGAGAAAACTAACTGCATATTTTGGGTGTAAAATGACCTAATTAACTAAGTCTTTAAGCGTTAAGAGTCTCAGTAGCCAATAAGACAGACATTTTGGTCATAGAAAAGGAATTACACTTCTGTACTTCCACAGGTCTATTTTAAAAGCGTTCTCCCACTCTTCTTGGTTCTGATACCATGCGGAAAGCATTCAGAAATGGCCTTATGTTGACAAGTCACTTTAAAGGAGATGACAATCATTCTATTTTTCAATTACTTTATAACATGCTCTATTTTTAGCTATGGTAATTGTCATAAAAGGATATTGGTGAAAATATGAATTATTCATATGTTAAAAATATCGGTGCCTAGCCCACATCTCTGACACCTCTGGCAGGAAGTCACATACGTTTCAAAGTGATGTCCAAAGAGTTTGTGGCAAATGTCACTTTCAACACAGACTCTCAAATGAACAAGAAGCAAAACCCACTCCACAGCACTTGAACTTTGCAATGGAAAACTGAAAAGACCCAACAGACGATAATATTTGTGACACCTGAGGTTTTTTCCAGTTGTTTAGTGTGAAATACATAACCATGAATCAAAATCACTTCACAATGGCATGGCATGCTCACTGAGCTGTACAATTTATCATGCATTTTCCATGGCTGCCTTTGAAAGAGATAAGGCATGGGTTTGTTTAACTACAGCTCTCAGCAGCCGTGAATTACTGCTAGGCACTGTCATGCTTGTTGTGCTGCAAGCAAGAAGCAGGGTTTAGCCCGTGCCAGAAAGCATCACTGACAGTTACGTAATTAGCAGTTCTTGTTTATTAATCACACCACACTTATACAAAAAGCTTATTTTGTTCGCCATGGTGTTTTAGAAACTTGTTTTCAAGTTCTCATTTGGGGAACTAAAAATTCTTTGCTTAGTCTTTCCATTTTTCATCTACTAAAGATAAGAAATTTACTAGAGAATTTCTGAAATCATAAGGAGTTTCAAGATTACAGACTTTAAAACTCATATTCTACACAAGCGAGGCGAGGCATTGGAGCCCAGGATCTATCGTAAGAACCACAGGACAATGAGCAAAGGGCAAAGACTGGGTTCCTTTTTCCATACACCCCCCTGGTCGTGTGAGTGAGTGAGTGAGTGAATGAATGAGTCATTCACTCTTGATAACTCACAGTGGGCCCATCTCTCAACAATGTGACCTTAGCACCTTTATGATTTAAGAGGACAATTAGACACTCTCCTCTTGGTCACAGCTACATTAGTAAGCTTGAGGCCAATATTCTAGGACTTAGAAGATAAATTAGATGCTTATTTACCATTTGAGATATTTTAATAACTTTCAGAAGTTACAAACTAAGATCTGAAAACTCACATTCCTTCAAAATTCAGGTGGGCAATGTACAGTAACATATATAATGTATTTCTTAAATGTTTACTATGTGCTTAAGACTCCTTGGTGGGACAGGAGGTATGTGTTTTTGGCTGTTAACGGAAAGGTCTGGTGGTTTAGAATGCACCACACATTCTGTGGAAGAAAGTGAGGCTGTATCATCTCATAAAGAAAAAATCTCCAGAGGCTAGAAAAAGCCTTGGAGGTCTGACAGATGATCACCGTGAGTTCTAACTGACTACATAGTGGTGGGTTTGCTTGGAGGTTAGACTCCATGCCTTGTGAGGGAGGTCTGGTGGAATAGTGGGTAAGAAGTTGTGCTGCCAACCCAAAGGCAAGTAGTTTGTGTTCACCAACTGCTCTGTGGGACAAGGGTAGGCAATCTGCTTTTGTGTGATTCATTGCCTCTGACAGCCTGCGGGAGGGTCAGCTACAAGGGTTCTAACTCAATGGCACGTAACAACATGTGCCTTGTGCTATGCTGAACATCCACATGGGAGTTGAATCCATACAACTCCACGAGGCAGGGAGTGACTTCATTATATAGATGATATAAGACAAGCCCTAACAGATGGCAAGATCAGAATTTGCATCGAGCCAATCTATCTTCTGAGACCATTGTTCTGTACTGTCTCTAATAAGTAGAAAGATCTCATTATT